ATGTGAAGCTAATTATTAAAGGTGAAACTGACAGTTGATTATCATGTGAAGCTATTTAATAACTTTAAGGTGAAACTGACAGTTGATTATCATGTGAAGCTAATTATTAAAGGTGAAACTGACAGTTGATTATCATGTGAAGCTATTTAATAACTTTAAGGTGAAACTGACAGTTGATTATCATGTGAAGCTGTTTAATAACTTTATGATGAAACTGACAGGTGATTATCATGTGAAGCTGTTTCATAACTTTAAGGTGAAACTGACAGTTGATTATCATGTGAAGCTATTTAATAACTTTAAGGTGAAACTGACAGTTGATTATCATGTGAAGCTGTTTAATAACTTTAAGGTTAAACTGACAGTTGATTATCATGTGAAGCTGTTTAATAACTTTATGATGAAACTGACAGGTGATTATCATGTGAAGCTGTTTCATAACTTTAAGGTGAAACTGACAGTTGATTATCATGTGAAGCTATTTAATAACCTTACGTTCAGCTTGGTAACTGAGCTAGTTTCTTTTTAATAATTCTCATTTTTCAAGATAACTTACTGCTTCGATGTAAATATTAATAAAGACACATGATCAGGTTAAAAGTGACTTTCAGGGAAACTGTCATTTATATTATACCAGATAATAAATGTTCATATTTCATATCAATGTTTGTAATGTATGATTATTTCTAATCAAAATTTTGCATTTACTTTTCAGATGCTCATCCTCCAAGATATAGGTAAGTTATATGGTTTCTAGCATGTTGAATGTGTACGTGTGTTGGATAAACCATATCATTGAGTAATAAAATTGCTTCAGATCAATTATAAATTACTCTAATTTAATTTGTATCAATCACTTCAAGATAGCTAGCATATATATAGGTGTGATAAATCAGTGATGCTGTTGCCTAAGCTGTAAGTAAAATGTTCGGTTTTTTTATTTAACTTTTTTTTACTTGTTCACCAAATATGACTTGGTGGTTAGGGCAGTTGATTTGCAGTCTGCGATTAAAACCCAGTGCCAAACACTCTTGCCCTTTCACCCATTGGGGCATTATGTGACAGTGAATCCAAATATTCATTGGTAAAGAGTTGCCTTTCCTGTGGTCATCAATACATTTAATTTTGTATTGGATACTTCTTACATCAATTCTGCGAATAGCGAACAATCCTTACTTTCCATTAAAATTTTCATTTTTTTCCTACTTATTTGTTCAGCTTTTATAGGTCCATAAAATGGACACAACATCTATAAACTTTTGGTATAGTCGTATCCCTGATAGTTATGACTTTTGCAAGAATTATAACGACAATCACAAATT